TATATAAAGATATAAATATATAAATATATTAATATATTAATATATTAATATATTAATATATAAATATGTAAATATGTAAATATATAAATATATAAATATATAAATATATAAATATATAAATATGTAAATATGTAAATATATCAATATATCAATATTTAAATATATATTAAAATATACAAATATATTTATATTTATAGATTTTATAAATATATAAAGATATATATATATATATATATATATATATATATATATATAAAGATGTAAATATATAAAGATATAAATATATGTAAAGATATAATTAAGATATAAAGATATAAATATATGTAAAGATATAAAGATATAAAATATAAAGATATAAAGATATAAATATGTAAAGATATAAATATATATCTTTAATATTTTGTACATGTAAATATAATTTATATACATTTTTAAATCTTTTTCTAATATTTATTTTTAAAAATATAATATTATTTTTAAAATTTAATATTTAAATTTTTATTTTTTTTCAAATATATAAAGATATAAATGTATAAGGATATAAATATATCAAATATAAATATATAAAAATATATATATATATATATATATATATATATATATATATATATCAATATTATCCCCTCGTATATTATTATACATTATTAGCGTAATTTTAGTTTAATTAAAAATTAGAATATATACAAATATATTATATTATATTAATATACCATTATGTTATAATATTTGTAATTTATTTTTATAGTGTATAAATTACAAAACTAATAATTTGTATATTATACTATACTAATATATAATTTGTATACTATAAATATACTATATTATAATATTATTTGTATACAAAACTAATATCTTTATATATAAATATATATATAATATGGAAAGATATAAATATATGTAAAAATATAAAGATATAAATATATCAATATATCAATATATAAATATATAAATATATCAATATTTAAATATATCAATGTATTAATATTTAAATATATATTAAAATATATAAATATATTATTATTTATAGATTTTATATTTATATATTTATACGGATATACATTTATTTGTATATAAATATAATTTATTTGTAAGTTATTATTAAAAAATCCTAGTAGCTCGGTGGTTGGGCTTTCGACCTCCAACTCTAAGGTATCGGGTTTGAATCCGACAATGACTATAAACCTAATAATAAGTTAAACTTCTAAAAAATATAATATAATTAAGAGGTAGGGGAAATAAATAATAAATATAATTAAAAATGTAAATAAATAAAAATAATTAATTTTGTTATTTTTTTAACTTTTTCATTGATTTAGCGACCAATTTAAATCGGTCGCTATTTTTTTAACTTTGTCACCGATTTAGCGACCAATTTGATATATTAATTTCGGTCGTTATTTTGCGACCGAAATAAAATCGGTCGCTATTTTGCGACCGAAATAAAATCGATCGCTATTTTGCGACCGAAATGAAAGTCGGTCGCTAACACATTAGCGACTTGGCTTTTTGCGACGACGCATTTCGGTCGCTAATTTATGTCGCTAACTGATTAGCGACCGATTTTTTAACATTAGCGATCGATTTTTTCGGTCGCTAAAATGCTTTTTCTTGTAGTGTTTAATCATGAAGCTAAAATATGATAATATTAATAAATTAAAATTAAAACAATTAAAAAAAATTATATATATATATATATCACTTTAATTATTTTAATTAAAAATAATTTCATAAAAAAACTAATATTTAAAAATAAAAATGCAAAAGTATATATTTTTTCTTTTATTTAATTATATTTTTTATTTTTTATTTTTTGGGTTTTATTCCATAACAACAACTTAGTTGTCCTAATTTTAGTTTAACCTAAAAATCTCATCGTCTTACCACAAAAATATATAATTTCTCTTATTAACAAAGTTTTTTTTATCAGATTAAGAAAATTATCACTAATAAGATTCAAAACCAGTACCTTAAAATTAGATACTAATACTCCAACCACTAAATTGTTAGAATTTTTTAATAAAAAATTACAAATAAATTATATTTATATACAAATAAATGTATATCCAGTGTAAATATAAAAATATAAAATATATAAATATAAATATATTTATATATTTTGATATATTTATATGTTCGATGTCGTAGTCACGCTAGAGGGTGAAAGTGTGTATCGAGTGAGTTTTTAAATTTTGATGTCAAATTTGTGAGTGAGTCTCTTTATATGGATTTATAATTGAATGATAGAATATAATCTTTATAATTTATTTATATAATGATATAAAATAATTGTTTTCTTTATTTATTTTTATTTATTTTTATTTATTCTTTTTATTTTTTTCTTCTATTATTTAATTAAAATTCTTATATTAAAATAATTTTTTCATTATTAAAAATAATTAAATATTTATTTTCAAAATTATTTTTTAAAATTATTTAATTTAACAAATTATTATAAATTAATCTATGTCTGGAAAAATAATTATTAAAAGATGATTTTGATTAATTTATAATAATATATGCTAGGAAAAAAATTGTTCTATTAATAATCATAATTAGATTAATTTATAATAATTTGTTAAATTAAATAATTTTAAAAATAAATATTTAATTATTTTTAATATTGAAAAAATTATTTTAATATAAGAATTTTAATTAAATAATAGAAGAAAAAAAGATAAAAAGAATAAATTAAAATAAAATAAAAATAAATAAAGAAAAAAATTAGTTTATATCATTATATAAATAAATTATAAAGATTATATTCTGTCATTAAATTATAAACTCATATAGAGAGACTAGCTCACAAATTTGACATCAAATTTGGAAAATCCACTCGACACACACTTTTATTTGTATATAAATATAATTTATTTATAAATTATTATCAAAAAATCCTACTAGCTTAGTGGTTGGAGTATCGATCTCTAACTCTAATGTACTCGAGTTCGAATCCTCGCAGCTTACAATTCTTTCAATCTAATAATAATTCAAATTTTTAAAAAAGAATATAAAAGGGAGGTTAGACCTAAATGAGTTACGCGGCCAATTATATCATTACCCACGGACCATATTCTTCTTGGGCATGTACTAGGAAACCCCCTATTTGCCAATAGAAATGTTGACCTACTTCCACAGCAAATATATCGTATAATCTTGAAAAAAGATTCATATTGTCCTTTAAAAAAATAAGAACTTGAAAAAAGGGAATACAAGAAAAAGCATTCGATTTCATCAAAATTATGGGCATACCACGAAAGTATGTCAAAAGGTGAAAGATCTTATTGAAGAATTCATCCAGGCAAGATCATTCACACAATTTATAAGCAACGAGCCACATGAGGGACAAGGTTGTGGACACGATGGATTTCCGGGACGAGGCCGAGTAAGATGAGGAGGATTTTATGAACAAGGTTGTGGTCACGACGCTCTTCTGTTACCAACACCCCATCAAAATCATGTTGAACGTCAAGAAGTCGAGAAAGAAATGACGAACAACCAAATGTTCGTCATTCAGGTGAAAGCAATGAGGGGGAGATTGATGACAATGCGAAACATGTCCCTACATTTCCGAGAGATAATTTTGATGATGGTTCAAGTCAACAACATTCAAGACTCAAGCAAGCCCAAAATATGATTTTGATAAAGATTCTATTCAAACATCAAGCAAGCCCAAGATGATTCCTGAAGACTAGATAGAGTTTTAGAATACTGGATATGGAGGTACAAGTTGATAAAGTAATATTATGCGTAAGCCTCCAAAGCACAAGTGTGATAAAATTTCATAACATGATATTTTTCACTGTCATGATCAATTATGATACATCAAAAATGGAAAAACGATTTTCTCTGTCATAATTGATTATACTGATTCAAGTCAACAACATTCAAGACTCAAGCAAGCCCAAAATATGATTTTGATAAAGATTCTATTCAAACATCAAGCAAGCCCAAGATGATTCCTGAAGACTAGATAGAGTTTTAGAATACTGGATATGGAGGTACAAGTTGATAAAGTAATATTATGCGTAAGCCTCCAAAGCACAAGTGTGATAAAATTTCATAACATGATATTTTTCACTGTCATGATCAATTATGATGCATCAGAAATGGAAAAATGATTTTCTCTGTCATAATTGATTATACTGGTAACATAATCAATTATGACAGTTCAAATTTGAAAAATATCCATTTTGAAGAATAAATGTTTTTGAATATATCTTTATTTTTATCTGCAAAAATATTAATGTTTAACGACCATTTTATGATGCTATTTTTATATTTAATTAAGTTTTTATGGAAAATCAAACACATAATTACAGAATTCGAAAATACAATTTATATTCAATCAGTTTTGAGAAAAGAATTATGAGCAAGACAACAAAGATATTTTATATGTTTTGAGAAAACCCTTTTCTCAATTACCACGAGGATATTTTACCAACACTCTCTTCTCCATTGCCTAATGTGCTTTCATTGTTAATCATATTTGTTCTTGGAGGTTGGCATTCTACAGACTTCTACAATTTGTTGTCTCCATTACCCAGGTGTAAAGCGATTCGCATCTTTCTCACAGTTACAACATCAAGTTTGCTAGCATTTAAACTGGACATCATGTAGAAGTATCAAGAATGTACCTATTAATGGAGTGGAGAGAAGCGTGAAAAAGAAGAGAGACGTGAAAATGAAAGAAGTGTGAAAATGAAAAATGAGAAAGTAAGTTTTTCAAAAAATAACGTCTCTTTTAATTTCTAATATTTTATTAAGGTTGTCCGATAAGAGATCGTCCTTCAAAACCAAAAAAACTCATTTAGCCTTTGTTTTTTAAGCTTGGAAGACTTATGTAGCTACTCGATCCAAAACTATTTAGCCACTTAATCCTGTTTATTGACCCAAATTCATTAAAGAAATAATTTTTATTTATTTTGTTATTAATTATCTTTATTATGATATAATATCTTATATTATTTATTATTTTATGGGCTATCTTTTCAATACTATACAAAGGCATCTAAGACGGTAAGCTGATGCAGGTGGTAAAGCCGGAATCTTCCAGTAGAAAGTGGACAAAACAGCTTCAGGATCCGTGGCAGGAGAAAATGTTCTGATGTAGTTTTTAACAGCGACCTTGCTCGCAAAGATGTATTTCTTGCGGGTCTTAGTCGAGCACGGTGCTGACTCTGACACATTCTACTCCTCCTTCCACGCGCGGAGTAGTCGATCCGGCAGATACAGATATCGATCTTGAAAAAGTAAATACAGTTCCGGACAATTATCCGTCCAGTTGTCTATCTCCAAACATCACCCCTCTCCCCGGCCAGTTTTCCGGTGCGTATGGATACCCTTCACCATACAGTTCCGGTGGCACTAGCAGTAAATCAGGAATATCTCTACGCTCCATCTCAATATCCTCACTGCATTACTACCGTTCTTAGATATGAACTTGTATGTATGAACCCTGATATATAAGGCTTGAGTAGAAGCATGGTGGACAAAAGCAATGGAATCGTGAAGGCACACATAAAGAGTATAGGAAATCAGATAAGAGACAACATTTGGCCTAAGAGGCGTCTGAAAAATTAAAGATCGGTGATTGGTTTCTTCATTTGTTGGTGAAGACGCGGGGTGCTGTCTCTTTCAAACCGCTGATTCTACAGTAAGAAATGACAGAAATCTTGAATGGCATTTCCTTTCCTAGTAATTATTATGTTTGAAACTTGAAAAAATAACAGCTCAGAAGAAGAGTGAAACGGTACTTCGGACCAAACACATAAAACCCAACAACATTTAATGAATAAAACAATCGTTTCTTCAAAACCATCACTTATGTAATCTTAACTACACATGGATATAACCACAGAACAACAACCATCATTATATATTAAGCAACTCATACACATGCACTTGAATTATAGATCATCACATTCACATAGCTATATTATATGTGAAATAAAATATGAACAAGTTTCTGCATAAGTTTAAACTAACTTATAAGTTCATTTGTAAAAGCTTTCATATATAGTTTTGTTAAAATTTTATTTTAAACCTCTCTATAAGTTAATTTTAGCTTATATATCAAATTTTATTTTATTTATTTATTTTAATTTTCTTCTACTAGTACTTCTGGAGAAACTTATCCAAACAACAAAAAGGATTTATTAATATACAATCCCGAAGTAATACAATTATGAAATTGTATAAATGATTTATTAAGTATTTAATATACGTCAATTTAATTTCTGAATAAATACATTTCTTATTTTTAACATTAAAAGGATTGCTTACATACTTTCTTATTTGGACATTATTTATGAAAAAAAAAATTAAAGATAGAATTGAAAAATATGAAATTATAGATGCATGTCCATTACTCTATTCATAAATGCTTTTATCATAAGAAATGGTTAAAGTGTTAATTTTTTTATTTTTTTTAAGTGATGAAATTGTTAAAGTGTTTTTGATACAGCAAAAGGAAAATATTGTTGAAATCAATTAAGAGTTTTGTCTATAATTCATATTGCAATATGCTGCAATAAAAGGTACAAATGAGAGAGCAGTGATTGTAACTTAATTTAATGATTAAATAAATACTTTTTATTTACAAATTAAATCAATAATAATTTAGGGTTTACGTACATACACAATATAATTAAAGATAATAATCAAAGAGATATAAAATATAGAAGTAAAAAATTAATATTAGTCCATGAAAAAATATCTAGAAATTTTAAAGTTATCAATAATAATCATTCGAAAGATACAGTCAAGTGTTAGATTAATTATAAACAACCTTAATTTTTAACTGTAGACAAATATTAAAATTACTTAATGGGTTTAAACTACTGTTAATATCAACATGCACTAATCTATTAATTGTATTTACAATAAATAAATAAATAAAATATAAAAATATTATTCAGATTCACCAAATAAATTTTTTTACATGATATTAAACTAAATACGAATTATTTTAAAAATATAACTTTATCTTTGTCACAAAACTTTATTAAAAATTGTTATTACAATACCTCTCCCTTTCCTTATTTATATTCTTTAATTCAAATATAATCAAATTCAATAAAATAATATTTTTATAATATAATGAATATATTAATAATTATTATTTTTCAAAAAATAGAGAAATAATTATAATAATAATGATCATCATAATTATAATAAGTTAAAAAAATAAATTATTTTAAAATTATATTAAAAAAAATATTATAACTCTTCAAAAATTATTTGTTTATATTAGTTCTCTAACACTAATTATTAATTTATTTTATTCTGTCTTTTAGCAAGTTCATCATTGAATATGATAAATAGTATAATTTTATTTATACAAATGTTTTTACTTCAATCAATTTCTATGTATCTACTATTTTCATGGAATACTAAATTAAAAATAATATAAAGAACTATTTAATTATCATAATTTATCTTCGTGACGAGTTGTTGGAGGAACTTTTTTTACCCATACAATTAATTTACAAGTGAGAGATGTTATTATTTTATATTGAGCTTCAATACCAGATCAATATCTTATAACAGAACATATGTTCATGATAGATCTGCCTAATCAATATCACTATACCTAAACATTTTATTGTTTTATTGATATAATATAATTTATCCTGCAGCTTTGTTGAAGTATCTTTTAGAATTTTTTTTTACGTGTAAAAGACAAATCACGTACAGTAACAATAAGCTAAATTAGTTTTTAACCAATCTTTCATATCTTTTTGATAAAAAAAACTCACCTCCTCTTAACTTTTTATTTAGATTCGTAGAACTATTTATTGCTTTACAATTAATCACACTTATCAATTTAAGAATATCTAGAATATATTTTCTTTGAAAAATAGCTATACATTCCTTGAATGGGCTACTTAAATGCCTACAAAATATTTAACACTTCCAAAATCTTTGAAAAATATTTGAAATTTTCAGTATCTTTAGTTTATTAGGAAAACCATGTAGAGAATATAATTTATCTTTTAAGTATAACCTATTCTTCTACCACCACACCTTCCTCTAGTGTGATGATCTCTTCTTCCACAAATAAATTCCGGGAATGATGATTTAGGAGACTCTTGAAACTTTGTATTCTTCAGAATTAGAACAAAGCATTCGTGTCGTGAAGTTTTCCATAAATGAAATAAGGAGACGACTGACATCCATCCAATAGATAAAAAATCCAGAGCGGAATCTATTTCCTTATTAAGTTTTTGGAGGAACTTTTTTTCCCACACAATTTCACAAGTGAGAAATGTTATTACTTTATATTCGCCTTCAACACTTAATCGACTAACTACGTTGTGTTTTTTATGTTTTCATGAAATAATATTACCTCCAGTGAATACACAGTATCCTATAATATTTTTGTTTTCATGAAATAATATTACTTCTAATGAACACACAATATTCTACCGTATAATATATGTTCATGGAGTCCTACTTAATTAGTATTACTGACCAAAACATTTTATTGTTTATTTATTTTTTATATTAATTTTTCATGAAATGATATTACTTCTAATCAACACACAATATTCTACCGTAGAATATATGTTCATGGAGTCCTACTTGATTAGTATTACTAACCAAAACATTTTATTGTTTATTTATCTTTGTATATTGATTTTTCATGAAATGATATTACTTCTAATCAACACACAATATTCTACCGTATAATATATGTTCATGGGAGTCGTACTTGATTAGTATTAATAACCAAAACATTTTATTGTTTATTTATCTTTGTATATTGATTTTTCAGATATTACTTCTAATCAACACACAATATTCTACCGTAGAATATATGTTCATGGAGTCCTACTTGATTAGTATTACTAACCAAAACATTTTATTGTTTATTTATCTTTGTATATTGATTTTTCATGAAATGATATTACTTCTAATCAACACACAATATTCTACCGTATAATATATGTTCATGGGAGTCGTACTTGATTAGTATTAATAACCAAAACATTTTATTGTTTATTTATCTTTGTATATTGATTTTTCAGATATTACTTCTAATCAACACACAATATTCTACCGTAGAATATATGTTAATGGGAGTCCTACTTGATTATTATTACTAACCAAAACATTTTATTGTTTATTTATCTTTGTATAACAGACCTTGTTTTATCTTTGCATAATAGACCTTATTTTAGAGTTTTTACGATGTATCTTAGAATATGAATGATAACATTTCAATTATAAACAAGGAAGGAACAGGTATGAATAAGCTAATAATACTACTAATAAAATAGAAATCAGGTCTAATAATAATAAGCTAAATTAGGTTCTGAATCAATCTTCCACATTTTTTTATTTAAAAAAATCATCTTCTTCCATTAATTTTTTATTTATGTTAATAAAATTGGTTACAATCAATCACACTTGTTTCTTGAAGAATATCTAAATCATATTCCTTTGAGAAATAATAATATCTTTGTCTGATGAACTACTTCAATGCCAGAAAAAAATTGAGACTTTTAATATTCTTAGTCTGAAAATGATTGTATAAGTGTTCTTTTAGTTATAAGATTTAGAAGTATTTGAGTTAATTATTAATGAATTTTGACTTTTATTATAGTGTGAAATACACTTGTTGATAAGTTGGGATTCGTAGATACTTAATATTATGTTAGATGGTTGATTTCAATCTCAAATATTGTCAATATTCTTGATAAAAAACTTTGACCTCAAGAATCTCATATTTGGAAATATTGACTCATTAAAAAACCCATGAAGAGAATAACATTTATCTATGGCTTATTCCTTGATGACATTCTTTATTAGCACACATTTCTCTACTGTCACATCCTCTTCTTTGACAAGTAAATATCCTTTTAGCACATTCTTAAACTTTTGTATTTGTAGACCCCAAATCTTGCCCGACCTCAAAATAAAGAGCAAAAGATTTCCGTTCAAAGATGGGCAAGGCCTTAAAGGTCCTTAGGATTGATCAATAGGCTACATACTAGAGTAGGAAGACTTTTTGTACACAAAAAATAAAAAATTTCAGCCAAAGGGTTGAGACTGCTGTCTCGTTTGGCAAAACCGCCATCTCGCCACTTGCCAAAGGCGAGATGACAGTCCCGAAAGTTGAGACGGTGGTCCCAACCTTGTTAGGCAAGATGGCGGTCCCGACCTGACAGACACAAATTTCTATAAAAAGGGGGCATTCTCCTCGTTTTCTACAAGTTCTCTGTTGAATTATTGACAAGCGTACCAAATTATCAATCGCAGTATAGTATTTCGATAAAATAAAAGTCGATCCCACGAGGAACAATTTCAATGGAAATTCCCAATTATGCTTACTAAGTAGATTAAGCAGATTGAGTTTTGCAAATAAGAGTTGAATTGAAATTAAATGACAAAGAACTGTAAATTGTTGAGAAAATATTAATTAAAGGTACTTAGGATTGGTTTCCTTCCTTATCCCTCTTTTGTAATGACTATGTCAATTAAGAACGTCAATTAACCTAACAATGTTGATGTCACCTACTCAATTCATCCATGTTAATTCTTCACACAT